GTGTTCTTCTCTCACTGCTGTTGTAGCCACACCAACTGCTACATTTGAAACAATAAGCTCAGATGTGATATTTCTTTCAAGCACTACAAGTGAGGACTTTTCAGTATATTCCCATACAGACAATGGGATTGAGGATGCATTTGAGAGCAGCAGTGATGTTGTTATAGGACCCTTTTCTGAAAATGAGCCATTGAACCTGGATGATACACTCCTTGTTTCACCACAAACTGTGCCATCCAGTGAGAAAGTGAAGAAAATTTTGGTTGTTCACAGAGGGCAGGTACTGCGTGAGCTCATAGCACATTTCTGTGATGATGGACTTAAAGACACTGATGTCAAAATCCAGCTTCTACTTCCAGATGGAGCACCTGAGATGGGGTATGATGAAGGAGGGGTTGTGAGAGACTGTCTGTCTGAATTCTGGAATGATTTTTATGATCAGTGCACAACAGGATATGCTTTTAAAGTGCCTTTCCTACGGCATGACTTTGGACAGCAGCAGTGGAAGAGTGTAGGTCGCATCATTTCTTTTGGATGGGTGAAGGAGAAATATCTTCCTGTGAAAATTGCACCTGTCATATTGGAACAAGCTACCTTGGGATATGTGAAGAGTGATTTAGTGGAGAATTTCCTGAAATACATCCCTGAATCTGAGCGCACAGTGTTAGAATCATGGCGATCCGATTTTGCCAGTGTTGACCAGGAAGAATTACTTGACATCCTTGATAACCACAGCTGTAGAAACACACCGACAGCCAGCATTGTCAATGAAGTCCTGCAGGAGCTTGCCCACAAAATGCTTGTCCAAGAGCCACGCTATGTAATTGGTCAATGGGCAAAAATACTTCTCATCCCCGAGCATGGTCTTATGACCTCACAACAGTATATGAAACCCTGCAGCCAACTGTGAGAAAAGTTGTGAAGTCTCTCACCTTCCCAGAGGTAATGACTGTCAAACAGAAAGATATTTAGAAGTATCTAACCACTTACCTGAGGAATGCTGATACGCAGCGTCTTTGTTTGTTCCTTAGGTTTTGCACAGGGTCAGATCTATTTCTTGGGAAGAACATTAGTATTAAGTTTACCCATATTCAAGGTTTCCAAAGAAGGCCTGTGGCCCATACATGTGGCTGTGTTCTGGAGTACATTATGATTTATGACTGCTACCCTGACTTAGTTTCTGAGATGAACAAGGTGTTGGAGTCCAATGTGTGGATAATGGACATAATCTAATCGGATCCACAGAGTGTGTGTCTAGTTACACAATCTGTGTAAAATGTTATTTTGTTGTACAGTCTCTGTGACCAGCATGCTCATGTAAAATATTGCATGGGCATGAAGTACAAACACTTTAGCACTTTTAATTTAATTATTTTGTCTACAAAATAGATAATGTTCGATTAGTTTTTATGCTGATTTGTTAGTTTAATAATACCAAAGAAACATATTTGGTAGTTTGTATGTTTATTTTAGCTAGGCAGTTGTTTTATTATTACCAAGGAAACATGTTTGGCTAGTATTACTTGATGTTAAGTCATGTTGGAAACTCAAATTACTGGATGAAATTGCCTTTACAGCCTGGTTTGAAGAAGTTGCATGTTATAGTTGCACTTTTGTTACCATTATTGTTATGATATACTGCATAATCATGTTTTGTATTAACAATTAAAAAAAAAAACAGTACTATGCTATTACAACGTACTGTGCACAGTTTTACTAATGCATCTACAGTATATTTTGTTGGCTGGGCTATGCCTTGGTGTTGTGTCCTTGGCATCATTAAGAGGCTGGAGTCAACACTGGGTCTCAGGTTTTTATTGTTAATGAGGTATGATTTTTGTAAACCAGTAGTGTGGTTGTGTCAGCCTGGGTGTCCTCTGTCAGTTTGAGTTTTTCAAAATAAAGTTTAAATAACATTTTCGATAGTCTGATGTCATAAACTTTCAGTAGTATGCATAGACGCTTAACACACATGACATTGATATTGCCATATAAAAGTCTTTTAATTAAAGTGAATCAGCAGACCCTGATTTAACTAGGAAA